CTGCCCTTTAGAGTTTGCTATATTGAAATGGCAGCACTTTGCTCTGATTAGACACTTGGCTCTTGCCATTTGGAGGACAGAACTTTTTGCTTTTAAGGAATTCAGCTCATCAAACTGGATTTTAAGACTAAACTTTTTTTTTCAGCTGTGTGTAAGAGAGGAGCTGGGTGCATAATGCATGATTGTATTTATTTCCATCTTTAACTTTTTCTTTATCTGTGGTGTTGTAGAAAGGTGGCAGTTATATTTGTTAAAAATACCTTACTTTTTTACTTCAAAATATAATTTTTTCATTTAAAATTGCCTCCTTCCTTATCTACTTTGATCAGAGAGTTATCTTTTTGAATCAAACTCCTGGGAGGAATAAAAGCAACTGAATTTTTAAAAGTAGGTTTGGCAGTATTTGATTTTTAATTTTTGATAATTTTGATAAAAAATGCTTACAAATAAACATTGCTATTATCCATTAATTTAAATTGTCATACTTATGGGAAAGTATAGCAGGATCAGATGACAGGGAGGTCAGACAATAATGCTTTAATGGAAGCAGGTGTGAAAAACATTAAAGCTTTATAACCGATACAACACAAATTATTTATGTCAGTTGTCAAAATATAGAAAGTGGATATCCTTAAATCAAACCCTATTAAGTTCTCAAAGAACATTTTTCTTATTTTGCTTTTCTGTAAATTGTAATGGTTAATAATGGAAATATTTTTTCTGAAGCTTGTATGTGTAGTCTGAAGTCAACATTTGCTGACATTTACTGTTTAATAAATCTAATCCTTCCAATTCTATGTAAAAGAAATCTTGTTTAAGTGCAATTTTGTGAAAGCATCTTAAGTATTTATTTAACACAAAGTGGGTACCAGGTACTTTAAAATAAATGCAGTGACGCCAAGCAATAATTGTCTCATTATCTATCTTTTTCCAACATTGAGTGCAGGAGGCTCTGATCCTGAGTGGAAACTTTGGGTGCTACAGTAATGATGTAAATGCTACTAATAATGAAGATAAAACTTTGCCATGAAGGGTTAATAATTTAGGCTGGGATTTTTAAAGGCAACTAAGTTGAATGGGATATAGGTGTCCAAATTTCTTGGAAAACTTTGAAAATCCACACTTTATTGCAAAACTTTATTTGTGTTTCTACTTGCATGAGTATTTCCATTGACTTCTCAATGTAAGAAATACTTGGAGGAGTAAGGGTTTGCAGGATTGAGACTTACGCGGGCAGAATACAGCATGGAGAAGATGTCATGCTATCAAAAGACACATTCAAAACATTTGAATTAATGCAAAAATGAATAAAATCCAGAAATCCTTAGTGTTTTTTAAAATTGAATATGTTTAGGTAAAAAGCTACAGAGTATACATTACATTGCATATATAGTAGAGGATGAAATTTTGTTTCTATCCTTTTGCAAGAAGTATACAATACAATACAATACAATGAGCTTGATCTTATTACAGGCACGTCACACTCTTGTTGCATGTTAGCTTTAGCAAGTCATTTTAATATGGATCTTAATCTACAGGCCCTGAAAATATGAAACAGCATTTGCTGCCTATGGGGACATTAGGAAAACATGTGGCAGTCAGGGAGTTTATACTTGCTTGATAGCCTGCCAGAAAGCAGAAACTAGCTCACCTCTTGGAATTTTCATTAGGAAACATGATAAATGGTTTTAAATGCCTTTTCTTTAGATGCCAGTGAAATGTTGCATGGAGATTGTCACCTGTGTGTCTCAGGTTTTCTAATTCTCTGTTAATCTCTTTCTATATGGGAGGGAGGTGGAGACTTTAAAAAAAAAAAAAAGACTCCCCTTTCCTGTAGTGAGATCAACCCAGTATATATATTATAAAGAACTGCTAGATGAGAGACCTGCAGGGTTTAGATAGCCTTTTTTTCCCAGGAAAGGACAGCTCTGCTGAACTTGCAGTTATTTCCTGCTTTATATGGAAATTTTTGCTTTGCCCTAAAGGGGCCTCAAAGACTTTGGGTTCTCGTGAAGTCTCCTGCACTGAGTATGAAAAACATTTTGTTGTTTCTGAAGTCATGTAGCTCTTTTTTGGTAAGTTGGAGGACTGCTTACCTGCAAATTGGAAGTTCTGCTTTTACTATGCTTGGGAACCTAGGTTTTTGTATCCCTTTCCAACACACTCTTCCTTAGTGGCAATTGCTACACGAAGCTTGTGATGGGCAAGCCCCAAAAGATTGGGAGATGCATCCACAAAATACCTTCTTATCTACTCACCCTAATGTATCCTAATTTCTTTTTGTCTGTTAATCTCATGAGAACAGGAGGTTTCTAGCATTTCCTGGTAAAATCAGATTAAGGTTAAATAGAACCAGGATCCACCATAATTTTGAGATTTCCCCCCTTACAAAGGTCCTTTCTTGATCCTAAGGATTGTATCATAACTCACCTCTATTCCTGCCTTCAGATAGATCCCAAATACTGCAAGAGCAGCTTCCTTGTGATATTTTGGCATTTTCACTTTCACACCTTGCCGTGGCCATGCAGTGCAGAAGGATGTGAAAACTGAAAATGACAGCAGCTACAAAAGTTATCCAACCTTCAAGCTGACAGGTGAAGATGGATGTTGGGTTTTTATTTCTTCCTGGATTTTATCCATCCCTAAGTACAATGTAGCATCTCTAAGCCCATAGGTGGGTTGTTGTCAGGAGAGACTGAGCATGGTACTTCCAAATCTAGACTCCTGAAACTCTACTGCTTGAGCTAAAAAATTCCAGCTCTGAAAGTCCAGGTTGTAGCAGGCTCATCAATCTCTGTGTGTCCCATCCACTATTAGAGATCAACAGAGCACTGCACTGAGTTGGTGTAGGATACAGTAGCCTATAGTTTCCTTTCACAGTGCTTTTGTGTTATTTCATACCCAACTGTTCCTTTAATTTAAAATAAGCGTTTGAGTTTGCTATTCTTGAAAGCTTTAAGGTACGTATCTGTTAATAATGTGCGATGATGCTAATAGCACATACATTGCTATGCTTTTTTGCAGCTATGCACAGATGCTGTTACTTCATCCAACCACGGTGAAAGTTAGGGATTTAAATAGTGAGGCCATGCTGCTGCAACAGTGTAATTTGTAAAGTCATATGTGTTCTAATAAAAGCTCTCAGTGGTTGAAAATCCCAGTGGTGCTTGACTCTGAGGATATGCTAAATAAAAAGGGCAACACCTGTAGCCGTTTCCATTGGTTCACACTGGCTCAACAGACGTGCTGGGCTTCAGAGAGATAGTCGGGGTTAATATATGTGTCAGCTGTGTTGATTTGTTTGTAGGAGGATTGTGCTGGGAGATGTGTTGAATTGTGTAGGTGGCACATGGGCTGGGGAGGTAGTTGCTATGTGGGGTTATGTATGTTGCTATGTGGGGTTATGGGACACGCGTCACTTGCGGGAGGATTCTCTGCATCTAGAAGTCTTTAAACCATCGTTTGAGGTCTTCAATATCTGAGATATGGGTGAGAGGATTATTCTAGGAGTGAGAAGGTGAGATTCTGTGGCCTGCATTGTGCAGGGGGTCAGACTAGATGATCATAATGGTCCCTTCTGGTCTATGAGTCTATGTTTTGGTCATAGCACAAGCTGATAATGTTGTGGTGGGTGGTTTTGAGGAACTATCAGAGCTGAACCAAAAAATCCCCTATCTATTCAGTCTCCCTCATACAACCAATGAAATTGTTGGTGTATGAAAATTAACTGTAAAGAAAGGGTTGCAATTGGTTGATGTATGTCTGGTATCTGAATGATGTAGGACTCTTGACCTAGCATACAGACATACATGAGGTACCAAGGTTCCCTAAGCTGTGTGGCAGCACAGCCCCACAGCTGCTTAATGAGTCCTGACTAAGGGATTGAGGCTGCCGTGCGTGGAGTTGCTTGGCTGGCAGTCGACTTGTTTCTCTGTCCTCAGCAGGGAGCTGCTGCTGTAGATGAGGGAGAAGTGCCCCTCCCACAGCCAGGCAGCTCCGTGAATGTCAGCCCTGAGCCCTTGGGTGGGGCTCATTAAGATGTGGCAGGGCTGTGTTGCTGTGCAGCTTAGAGGGAACCTTGTGCCTTACTGTCACATGGGTGTAGTTCATCAAGTCAAAATGGAGGAGAACTTAACAATTGGATAGTAACAGACTATGAATGCCAGTGTGATTGAACCGTGTGGTTTTCTGGGCAAAAATAACTCTTAGCCATGCTCATATCTATATCCATCACTTCACCCTGATTCATTAGATGGTCTAAGGGCTTCATAGGGACATTCAGAGTGACAATCGTGGAATCCTGTTCTATAGATCCATTTTATGGAGGGCTGCACGGAGATGCAGATTAGAGAGCAACTTGTTCAAGATCCTACTAGTGAGGTTCATAGCAGCTTTGGGTTGACAGCTGGAGTTCAAAAATTCCAGTCTCACGCTTAGTCCCCAGCCCACACTAGGACTCTTTACAGTGCCAGTGCCCGTGTTGGACAAAAATTGTTTCTCAGATCTTCCATGGGGGTCTTTCAGGCATTTTATTCATTACAGTTGCATGTAGCGATCCTTGGTGCTTTACAGGTGGAAAAGGTTGTTGACATTGTCATAGAAGTCTAGTCAACTAGTATTTAGCTCTCCCTTCTATCTCACGGGCAGCCCCCATGAAGTGCACCAAAGGAACAATCTTTACTTCAGAATGAGAGAGAGGCCACAGAGCTCTAAATGCTTCCCAGAGAGGGAAATGGAAATTCTGAATTGGGCTTAGGTGCAAGGTTGAGATGCCTGCATAATAACTTCTACTAAATAATCAGGCTATTCATTTATTTACTATGAAACTACAAAATGTGTTGACTCTCTGATTCTTTTCTACAGCAGCTGCATTTCTTATTTCCATAAACTGAAAATGGGCTTGCCTGATGCATTCTCTCACTGTATCTAAAAGCTGTGTAAATGTACAAAATTCTGCATCTACAAATGTTGTTTTTTTCTTTTTCCTTTCTTTTCTTCAGTGAGTGACCTGCAGGAAGAAGGCAAAAATGCAATCAATGCGCCAATGTCTCCCACTACCATCGACATCCACCCTGAAGATACCCTACTAGGTACAGTATTAATGTTATAGGCATAACTGAATGTATGTTAAATGAGGCCAGCATGTATGTAGGCATTGAAAATTGAAGTCAATTGAAGCCAACAGAAATGAGCATGAATGTAAGATAAAAATGAGAAGTACAAAGGAAATTTGAACAACAGTGAGGCCCCTGCCCATGTATGTTAGATCCAGGAACCTAGCAAGAGTATTGGATTGTCCACTCAACTATCAGCAGGACAAGGACTTTGCAGAGTTTTTTTGCATCATTCCACATCACAGAGGATATTGGGGAAATATCTAACTTAGAACTAGTCTTTTCAAGTAATGAGGATGAGACGTTTTCAGAGACTGAGATATTTGAAGAGGAGGCCTTGGAACAAATAGCTGAATTAAAGTGCAGCAGGCCACCAACGGTGTTTATTACAAGACTTCTGAAAGAATCAGTTGACTGAACACTTAATATAAATGTTGAAACTTCCCATCAATATCACTTACTCTCCAAGCTTTGGTGTAGTCAATAAATACTGTACCAATCTTTAACGTAGGTGCTGGTGGCGATCCTAAGAATTACAGACCAATGAGCTTTACTTAAGTAGCCGATAAATTGTCAGCAATGGTAATTTAAAAATAGAATTAATAATCCTAGATGACAGTGAAAAGATGGACAAGCATAACCTCTTCAAAGAAAAGTTGTACTTTGCCAAACTCTGAGAATGTCTATGGAACAGTGGATAAAAAAGGAACTCCTAAATATAATTTTATTTGAACTTGCACAAAGCCTTTGTCAAAACATCATTTAAAGAGGAATTAAGGAAACCAAGGGCAGGTCTCCACTAGAAGTGCTACGTCGGTGCAACTTAGGGATGTCAAAATGCAGTTGATGCAGTTAATTGGAAATTCCATCAACTAGTCAATTAACTGCATTTTAACTAGTTGATAGGCACTTCCGATTCCTCCTTTGAAATGTACAAGAGCCCCTGATGGTGCTCTTGTACATTTCAAAGAAGGAATGTGGAACTCCGTGTACAGCTCGGGACCAGAGGGAAGTCCTGCTGACTCCGGGCTGCACCCAGGTGCCTGCTCTGAAATGCACAAGAGTCCCCAGTGGGGAATAGAGGCACAGATACTAAGGTTCAGTCTACACTAGCACTTTTGTTGGGCAAACTTTGGCAGGAGTGGGGGAAAAAATATACCCCTGACTGACAGAAGCTTCACAGACAGAAGAAACGGTGCGGACAGTGCTGAGGTCAGCAGGTGATGCTCACCCACTGATACAGCTACAACTACTCGTTGGCAGTAGGTTTCATTATGCTGGCAAGAGAGCTCACTTTTGCTGGCATGAAGTGACTACATGAAAGATTTTACAGTGGTATAGCAGAGCTGTTGTAAGGTCCATAGTATGCAGACATAATCTAAATTACTTGTTCAAACTCTTTTAGGGTACGTCTACACTGTGGTGCTATGTTGGGATACTTTCGGTATCCCGAAATAGCTATTCCGCACCTTGATAGCATGCCCATTATTTCAAAATATCTTTCAAAATAACGGGCACACTATTCTGATGTTTCTCTAAACCTTGTTTCATGAGGAGTAAGGGATGTTTCATAATAGCGGTTTATTTTGAAATTTGGCACTGTATAGACAATGCCAAATTATGAAATAAGCTATTTTGAAATATACTGTAAATAAACTAAGCAATTTGCGTAACTCAAATTGCATAGCGTACGTTAAGATAAGGGTGCAGTGTAGACACACCTATAGAGTCTGGGGCAGAGTTGGGAATTGAACATGGGTATCCCAGCTCCTTGTCTCTGCGTCAAATGGTTAGATCATTGTTTCTCTCAAAGTAAATAAGACTGTGCCATTAAATAAATGGATATACAGCCACTCTCCAACTTACGAACACACCGACTTTCGACCAATCATGCTTACGACCAACCTCCCATTAACCCCATTATATGTATTTTCGAGTTGAGAACCATGTATGTCAAGTTTTTCTAACAGCTCGGACAGCACGTTTAAGGATATTTCCGATTTACGACCAAATTGAGTTACGACCAGGTGTTCGGAACATAGCCCGTTTGTAAGTCAGGGACTGCCTGTATACATTCTAGCTTTGAATGCTGTATAGGGTTTTGGTCATCCCAATTCATAAATGATATTATGGAAAAAATAGAAGAGGACAAAATATGGATATAGAGATTGAACACAGAGAGGGAGAAATTGAAAAGATGATGAATACTTCATTTGACAAAGAGACAAATCAGAGGAGCTACACTAGAGCTATGTAAAATTAATTAATGCTATAGAGGAGGTTAATTAAGAACCTTTCTGAAATGAGAACAAGGAAGCGCACATCGCAATTAAAAGCCACAAGTCTAGGATAAAAGAAGATGTACCCCTCTTCCCCCAATATATAATTTAACCTGGGGAACGCATTGGCACAGGTTGTCATTGAAGTAAATAATTTTGAGCAGTTATAAAAAGGCGTAGCTATTTCTATGGATAATGAGAAAATCCAGTTATATTAAATATGCAAAGGAAGCCAGGGAGACAGACCTGCATTCTTTTGGGCATATAAGCCACTGGTTGAGGAAGAAACCTAACTTATGTAGAGGTTATTCCATAATTGACCATTATGGAGATCTAATAACTTCCTCTTTTGCATCTAGTATTGACTGTTTTCAAAAATGGCATACTAGATTAGATGGAATGTTGGTTTGATATAGCTAAGGCCTTCAAGCAAATAACAATTCACCATGTGGCCTTCATATAAAAAGAAACAGAAAGAGCTTCTTTAATCCTTTCCTCTGTTAACTATTAAAGGGGGGTGAGACAGACTGAGCAAGATGAGGGCCTAGCCCAGGAAAGACATGATTGCTCGGTGGCCCACGGCATGATGGTGGTATCCTTGAAAAGTCGGGTGTTGCACAAACATGGGTGAGCCCTCTATGCACAGTTCAAGCTCACCACTTCATGGGCTGGGTGTGTAACTTCCTCAGTGTTAAAATGCTTGACTCATCTCAGTATCCAGGAAGAAGTAAAGAACCAAAAGAAACTGGAAATCTTACAGAATCAGAAGCTCTTCCTAGGTTTGTGGAAAATTTGGCAAATGTTTTCAAATTTCAGTTTGGGTTTTTTTAAAATAGATTATGGGCTCAGTACTTTCCAGTGTCCACAATCTATTTAATCTATTAAAAAACTTACTATATTTTGGTGCCTGAATAGTAGTGATGGTCAGAAAGGCTCTCTGTGGGAGTGAGGCCATCAGAATGCCTTTTTGGGACCATGATATTGCTTGTGTGGTGGGCCCCATTGTACCACAGTGTGCTGGCACCTCTGCCCGTTTTTTATTCACATGCACGTCAAGTCAATGCAAAGGGAAAGTCCACGCAGCAGCTGGGTGTGAATCTTTCAGCCTGTGTAAATGGGCTTATACTGGATCTGCTCAAGCTAGAGTGTAGACCACCTCGGTGGCAGCTCATGGGATCGGGTGAAGCTGATGCCTGGGCCACCGTTTGCACACAGCTCTTTTTAGTGTATTAGTTTGAGCGAAGCTAGTGTCAGTCAGTCTGCCGAGGCAAGGCAGGCTTGCTTGCAGCCTCAGCATAGACCGACTCAGACAGGCCTGGCTTCTTATGTGGATACAGTGAGATGTGAGCCAGGTGTGTCATGTATCAAAGGCTGCTGCCTCATGAACCTTAAGCAGGGGTATGCTATGGGTGTAATTCTGGCTCATGGAAGTCAATGGAAGCTTTGCCATTGACTTCCAAGGGGCTTGGATTCCATCCTGTATGTCTCTGTGCACAGCTCAAGTTAAACCCTCCAGTTCTGTTTTAGCTGCAGAGAAGTAGATCACGAAGCAAGGTGACGATACTGCATTCCTGTTACAACGTGGCAGCTGTGCTTTCCTTTCCCCTCACAGTTCTGAACTAAATCAAATGGTCATTTCAACCTGAAAGAGATTAAAATGAGGAAAGGTCGGGGAGGCTGTGTTTGCTAGTTGAAACTGAGCACCAAAATTTACAAGTCAGTAACAAAAAATGAGAAGAAAACAAAACAAAACCCCCTCACTGATGTGACTCCTGACTGAGAAGGAGAAAGACATGCCCCACATTTCCCTTGTGCACCAGCACCTAGGGGGCCCCAGCCTAGTAGGTTTTGTGTGCTCCAGCCCCACAGTGGGGCAATGTGGGGCTGGAGCACCAGGCGAGCTACCCTGAGTCTTGAAGGCCCCACCCCTGTTCTAAGATTAATCTTTACTCCTCCCTCTCCTCTTCTGTTCCTTTATCTCCTCCCTTCCTTTGGATTTTTTTCTTTCACCTCCCTTCTCTGCTCGTCTTCCTCTTTTTTTGTTTGATCTGTCTTCCCTCTTCTCTTTTCTTCCCTTGACTCATGTATTATGGAGATCCTCACTCCTACACCTCAAAACTGAGAAGAACTGAATAAGTCTTTCCTCAGAGTGTGGCTTGGCTCTAGAACCTGTGGAAAGACACCTTCCAAGAAGCTGTGTAGGCTTTAGCTATGGTACTCTGAGCTACTGCTAACACCGACAGATTAAACTGAGTGCCCAGTTCTGATACACCCAGCCACCCCTTAATGTCTCTTTACTCTCTCTTCCCCCACTCTACTTCCCATTTGTATGTCTTCCCCAATTTTTTCCAACTGTCCCACTCTGCTTCCTGTTCTGTGCCCCTCTTCCATTTCTGCCTCCTTTCTGTGTCTTTCCTCTTCTCCGCCTTCTCCTGTTCCTTCCACATTGTGTCTGTCTGACTGCTCTTTGGAGGTAGAAGGAAAAATTTTTCTCTTCTTCTCACCCTTCTGCTCCATCACAATGGAGCAGGTTGCACTACTGCTAGACTTGCTCTAGGCACTTTCCCCCAGGCACAACTGAATTTGGGCTAAATTCTTGTTGGTTTTACTCTTCAGCTTTGACTGAGCACTGTGTGCAGTCACAGCAGAGCAAGCATAGTCCTCACTAGCTAGAACATGCTACCGTGGAATTTGAAAAGGCAGGGAGTAGGAGAAAACAGGATAACCCATAATCTCATGTCACCCCTGTTACAAAGAGAGCTTGCTGGGTTCCTTAGAATACTGCAGTCTGGTGATGTAGCTTAAAAGGAAAATTAAATAACTGAGAAAAGGATAAAATGATCATCATTATTAGCTGAGTGCTACTAATGTGCCCTGGAGAAAGATGCAGCCCTGCCCCAAGGAGCCTACACAGTACTGGAGACTAAAAGATACACATGCATGATGCTGCATGAGCTGATGAAGGCTAACTGAATCTTCTTTTAGGGAAGTTAGTACTGTGTAATCCTTCAGTGTATCACTAAAGAATTCCTCATGCCTTGATCACTTGATGTTCCCTCACTAGTATGATGACTAGAGTTTGCCATTTCTCAATCAACTTCCAGCCTGCTTTATAAATAAGAGCTCCTGCAATATTTTTGGCAGTGTGTTCATGTCATGGCTCTAACTAGAGTTTCTCCTTCTCAACGGGCAGAGGAAAATGAGGAACGTACCATGATCGATCCCAACTCCAAAGAAGACTCCAAATTCAAAGAACTGATCAAGGTAGGAAGTAAATACTTGTCTTGTTTTTCTTTCATGAGAAAATTCTTTAGAAAGCTATAAGTAATCCTTTGCAAACTGGAGATGCGACCGAGGTCCCTGTACCTCTGATAGCAGCCAGCGGGGGAAACAGTTTTGGAAGGTATGAGTTTGGGTTACAGAAAAGGAGTGCAGATGGATGAAATGCTCAGAAGGGGAGGAATATTTCACTGTGTGTGAAATTCAGCCCTGCTGAAGGCGGGCCTATGCTCTGTGTTACGGAGCCCCAGGAAAAAGCGCCCCTGTTTCAGTAAAGGTGCAGATGAAATGGTTATGCAGTGTAGTCTTCATATTTGCATACAAGGGGAGTGGGCTCCAGGCCAGGTCCAAGTGGAGAGCGGGTTTGAGAGTATCGGAACATAGGCACTGCCATAATGAATAGACCTGAAGTATGTCTGGTCCTACATGCTGTCTTCTGTGATGGCTAGAGCTGGATGCTTTAGAGGAAGATGTAAGAATCCTATAGTAGACGGATGTGGCAAAATCTATCCTCCGTATTAATGTCTCATAGAATACTAGAACTGGGAGAGACCTTGAGAGATCATCATGTCCAGTCCTCTGCCCTGGCAGGACCAAGCACCATTTAGATCATCCCTGATCGATAAAAAAGTAGCTGTGTTAGTTTGTAACTATATAAATGAATAGCCCTGTGGCACCTTAAAGATTAACAAAAAAAATATTTTTGTTAACCCTAAGGTGTGTTAGAACTATTCATTATCCCTGGTAGATGTTTATTTAACTTGCTTTTAAATATCACCAATGATGGAGATTCTACAACCTCCCTAGGTATTTTATTTCAATGCTTAATCATCCTGAGAGTTAGGAAGTTTTTCCTAATGTCCAACATAAACCTCTCTTGCTGCAATTTAAGCCCACTGCTTCTTGTCCTATCATCAGAGGTCAAGGAGAATAGTTTTTCTCTTCTTTGTAACACCTTTTAGGTACTTGAAAACTGCCATCATGTCTCCCCTCAGTCTTTTCCAAACTCAGTTCTTTCAGTCTTTCCTCATAGGTCTTGTTTTCTAGACCTTTAATAATTTTTGTTGCTTTTCTCTGAACCTTCTTCAATTTCTCTACATTTTTCCTGAAATGTGGTGCCCAGAACTAGATACAATACTCCAGCTGAAGACTAAGTAGAGTAGAGTGGAAGAATAACTTCTTGCATCTTGCTTACAGTACTACTGTTAATGCATCCCAACATGATGTTTGCTTTTTTTTTGTAACAGTGTCACACTGACTCACATTTAGCTTGTGGTTCACTCTAATCGTTCCATTCCTTTCTGCAGTACTCTTCCTAGTCAGTCACTTCCCATTTTGTACGTGTTCAATTGATTGTTCTTCCCTAAGTGGAGTATTTTGCACTTGCCCCTATTGAACGTCATCCTATTTATCTCAGACTATTTCTTCAGTTTGTCCAGATCATTTTGTATTACAACCCTATCTTCCAAAACACTTGCATCTCCTCCCAGCTTGGTATCATCTACAAACTTTATAAGTGTACTCTCTATGCCATTATCTAAATCATTAATGAAGATATCGAACAGAACTGGTCCCAAAACTCATCCGTGTGAAACTCCACTTGTTATGCCCTTCCAGCATTACTGTGAACTGTTAACTACTCTCTGAGAATGGTTATATAGCCAATTATGCACCCACCTTATAGTAGCCCCGTCTATGTATATTTCCCTAGTTTATTGATAAGATAATATGAGACTGTATCAAATGCTTTACTAAAGACTAGGTATACCATGTCTGCTGCTTCCTCCTTATCTGCAAGGCTTGTTATCCCATAAGAGAAAGCTATCAGGCTGTTTTGACATGGACTTGTTCTTTACAAATCCATGGTGACTACTACTTATCACTTTATCATCTTCCAGATATTTACAGATGGATTCCTTAATTATCTGCTCCATTATCTTCCCTGGTCAGTACTTTCCTTGGTTGTTCTTATTTCCCTTTTTATAGATGGGCACTATATTTGCTCTTTTCCAGTCTTCTGGAATCTCTTTTCTCTTCCATGACTTTTCAAAGATTATAGCCAATAATCAGACACCTTCTTAGTCAACTCCATAAGTATTCTAGGATGCATTTCATCGGGCCCTGGTGACTTGAAGACATCTAACTTTTCAAAATAATTTTTATCTATTTTAACTTCTGAACCTACCCCATTTCCACTAGCACTCACTACTGTGGGCAATCACCACTAACCTTGTTGGTGAAAACTGAAACAAAGAAGTCAGTAAGAACCTCTGTCATTTCACATTTTCTGTTATTGTTTCATTGAACAGTGGATTTGTAGAATGTTTTCTCGTTACTCTTTATGTCTCTAGCTAGATTGAGCTTGTTTTGTGCCTTCGTCTTTCTAATCTTCCCCTTGTATATTTGTCTTATTTGTTTTATATTCATGCTTTGTACTTTGACCTAGTTTCCACTTTTTATGAGACTCCTTTTTGATTTTTATAGATCATTCAAGATCTCCTGGTTAAGCCAGGGTGGTCTCTCCCCATACTTCCTATATTTTCTAGAGAGTAGTGTAAGACCTAAAGCTTGAGGTTCAACATCCCTTCCAATATATTTTTGTTATTTATTATAACAACTCTGGATATTCTTGGTATCCATATAAATATCCAATCCCTTTTGAAACTTGCTATGTTCTTGGCCTCAGTGACCTCCTGTGGCAGTGTGTTCCACAGTATAATTGTGTGAAAATTACTTTCTTTTGCTGGTCTTGAATTTTCCTTCTTTCAGTTTCATTGAATGTCCTTTTGCTTTTGTGTTATGAGATAGGGAGAACAGAAGCTTCTGATCTTCCTGTGTGATAGAGGATGGACTAGATCTGTGATTATCATGTATCCATTTTCTGGGAACCTCCACACTAATGGTGTGGAGGAGCAACAGCTTTTATTTCAACTCAGGATATTAAATGCTGCCCCACTGCCTGTCCTGTAGGGTTGTAGACTCTGTTCCACTCCAGCCCCAACAAAATCCCCTACATAATTCTCATTTGCTCATGCTCCATGTCAGATGGAGGAATCTAACCCAGCGTGTATAGTATTTAGGAAGGTTTGTTTAAGGGTTAGAATATAACAGAGAGAAGGTTGGAGCAGAGAGAGAAGCATTGGCAGGTTTGTACCCTAATGCATCCTTTCTTTCCAGAAGCTTTCATCCTTATATTACTTTCTTACTACATTTCCTGTACTGGCCTCTCTGTGTGTGAGGCTTTTGATTTATATTGCTTAAACCACAGTGCAATAATGGTTAGCAGTGTCAGAAAAAAACTTGATGATGTAATCTGACGGAAGAGGAAAGGACGTGTACTTTGATGCACTCTTGTCACGGTATTTTTACTTGGTACATCACTGGAGTGAATGCATGCCTCAAAGAATAACCCCAGCAGCCTTTGTTATGGACTTATAACACACCCATCATAGTATTCTTAGCACTGCAATGGCAGGGCATCACTAGAGGAACATAAAACCAGCTTCCTATCCATCTGAGGTTAGGGATGTCAACGTGTAGATAACTACATGATTCACCAATAAACATAGGCTTTTTGGTTAATCCTGTCGACAACATGCATTTCCACCACTCCCCCACCCGCTTGCTGCCTCTGTTTCAGAGGCAGCAAGTGGGGGAGGCGGGAGTCAGCTTTAAGATGGCTCTCCACCAGCACTGGATCCATCTGCCCCTCCCACCTCCGTGATGCTGCCTCTTATAGAGAGGCAACAGTGGGAACGGTGAGGGGGCAGGTGGGAGCTGATACACATGGGGAACTGTCTTTTAAGCTGGCTCTCCAGGCATATCAACTCCACAGACCCTCCTGTCCCCCCCTTGCTGCTTCCTGCAGAGGTAGCAGAGGGGAGGAGGCATGCAGGAGTTGGAATCAACGCTGGGGGGAGCTGGCTTATACATTTTTAAAAGTGTTAACATTTTAACACCTCTACTTCTCACCTCAAAATCTGCCTAGAGTGAGCATGAAGACCTGAGCCCTAATACTGTAATGAGCTCCTCATGGGCACAGGGATCTCTGTATGTATGGTCTACAGTGTTTCATTGCAGGATCAGGGCTCGTGTCTCAGCACTGTCGCTTACAAACTGGACTGGTAACATTTTACTCCCGCTATACCCAGTTGCACATGACTGTACAATATTCAGTGCAATGGAAAACTGAGCCCTATGTCCTGAAAGTCACTAGGGGTTGTCTCTTGGTAGGGTCCAGAGGAGAGCGTTGTGTTTCTTCTTGTGAGGCTACTGCAGGTAGGAGAGCCATATATTAATGTAAATACAGGCAGTCCCCGAGTTACGCGGATCCGAATTATGTTGGATCCGCAGTTACGAACGGGGTTCCTCTCCCTGGTCTCCAGCAGACCAGGGACAGGAAGCAAAGCAGCGGAACACGTGGGCAGCGGACAGGGTTGTCCGCTGCCCACGCGCTCTGAGGCTTGGCTCTGCTTTGCCCCCCCCGCCCCCCTGGTCTACAGACCAGGGGGACGGGGGAGTAAAGCCAAGCCGCGGAGTGCGTGGGCCGTGGACAGGCCTG